TGATAGATCCGGCCCTTTATCCCTTCCAGCACCTCTCTGTTTCCCTTCTAATCTTATCTCAAACTTCAAACGGCCACCTGCAGATGGCCATACACATATTGCTTTATTTTTATCCATGTTGGAGCACACTCTTTGGCCTTTATAACATAAATGTATTTATTGTGAAACATTTATCCACTATATTCTATTTATTGGTGCAGCATTAATTCACTACACCTTCTTGATCCTTCTGTCCACACCTGCTCCCAATCAGTTGATTACTCGATTCATTGTTCTGCTTGGCATATATAGACCTAATCTGCAGTTACTGGTTGCTAGATTCTCTTCATTTCTTATGTTTGTTTCTGATTCCTGAGTTCCTTGCTGATAGTTTCTGAATTATTGCTTCTGTACTTTCTACCTCTTCATTATAGGCTACCTGCAAGAAATCATCTCTGCCTCTTCATCTCTGTATTAGGGTGAAACTCCACAGACCCCCACAAAGATGTTATGTTTTAAACATTATTCAAATACCTGTAGTCACATGTATGAGGAAAAGATTTATTAAGTGCACTCATTTTTTTTTTTAAATAGAACTCTCAACACATAATTGAAGACAATTGAACAGAAGTTTTTTTGCACTTGAGATTCCAATGAAAACCATAATATATTGGATTGCAAAAGACACAACAGACTCTTCTCAGCTTGGTGCAAAAAGAAAAAATGGAAGTTTAGCGAAAGGGTTACAATGAGAAACGGTTTAAAAGCATTTGCGGTGGACAATAGTGGGGCCAGACTCATTATACTCCTGTTTGGTGACCCACATCTGCTGGAAAGTGGAGAAGTACCCCAGGATGGAGCCACCTATCCATGCAGAGTTATTTCTTTCTGGTGGAGCCAGAATCTGGAGAAGGAAAATAAACAACACAGAGCAGCAAGGTTTAATTTCATTACTTTATAATTTATATTATTAAACGAGCTTAGATAAAGAGCTTGTTTTTGGTGTATTTGATCAAATTGAAAGACATAATAAAAGCAATCAGCCAGAAAGGATGTGTTGAATTTGTATGAAGCATTTCTCAGTTAAATTGTTGTTGCTCAGAAATAAGTCACATTTTCTGGCTAATGTTACAGGGTGACCATGGCATGTTGTGTATATTGTTTAAATCTTATGTTTTAAAGTTACATTTATTTGTTTATCTTGGTTTGTAATGTGTGCTTTTATTTACTTTTTATTTTATTCTTTATGTTTTGGTTCCAGTTTTAATCACCATAAGATATCTCACTTATGTCGACCTTTGTTAGCTGGCTGTTGGTGGCTTGAAAGGACAGTATTTAAATGGAAGGAGAGGAAATTAAAGACTGAAAGCTGATGAAAGCTTTAGGACCAGCAGCAAGACCTGCTGTCAGCAGAGGAGGAACAGGAGCCTCAGTAAGGACAGTGATCAGGGGAAGGGAGCAAGACAGCTGTCATGGCAGCTGGGCAGAGCTTCTCTGCCTGTGTGTGTAAGTAGCGCTTCGATACTCTGACTGATTGATCTCTGCTCATGTCATTGATAATGTGTGAAGCAGGTTTGTGCAATTGCCTGTCCTGAGTTTGTTCTTTCGTAATGGTCAGGCTGGCAAGAGGAGCGGACCAACGACCTACATGGAGCTGAGTGGAGTGAACTCCACCTCCCTTGTTAGTTGTATTCTTTTTTGGGACTTTTTATTAATAAATACTTTGGTTAAGATGTTTGTTTTACTGTTTGCTGTTTTTATAGGTTTAATAAAAAGAATCTATGTTTTAAAACTCTACTTGGTTGCATTGCTTGCCCTGCATTTATCCTTGAGGTGGGTGCAACTCTGTACTAGTGCACTCATATTAAATACAATTTCTATTTGTTCCTTCATGTGAGATAACGCTCAATATGCATTCTAGTTGATTAATACCATAAGTTGTATCAGTGGGAGGGACTAAAGTGAAATTTCCAGAAGTTCTTTGTAATTTCAAATCCAGTGTAGAAGCCTTGTGTGCTTCAGCCTGCGAGATAACATTTCCTTTATATCTTAGACATGATCAGACATGTTCATATAGCAACAGGGATTCAATCAACCACAATCAATAATTTTCATGGACATTTTCCTCTATTTGGACAAATTATTTGAAGGGCATGCCTGCTGAGATTTGCATTCCCTGTCATGGGAACACATTTCTCAGTACAGCCTCATCTTAAGGAAGACCATTAAAAATAACAGCTTTAATAACCCTTTTTTAACCTGTTTGAGTCAAATGTTTTAAAGTCATAGACCCTGAAGAATAAGCTCATCTTGGACAACATTAGCATAAAGACACACAAGCATATTTCTGGCACCACTGATTTTAAGGCTGCAAAGAAATGTATTGCAATGTGTTTTGATCCCCAAAATTATCATGCACCCATGAAACAAGTAGCTCAGAATACATGTATCAATATTAAGAACATGTGAAATTCATTAAAGCTGTTTATTCCTCTTTGATACCAGGGGATGCCTTTTCTGACATGGCAGCTATGGACGCTGCTGAAAAACACCCCCCTGTTCCAAACCCAAAAATGGTGACACCACTCACATAACTCACCAGTGCTAAAGACCATACTTGTGATTAAAAAGAAACTATATAATTCATAGTTCTTTACTATGGAAAATGGATGGATGGATAATTGTTTACTATGCTAAATTAAGGGAGCCATGCAGACTCCCTGTTTTAACCCTTAATATTTTTTTTATTTTTTATGAAATTCATACTAATTGCTTAGAGGACCTTTGTGATCATGAGGAAAATGTGGAATCTACTACAAGTCTCTATTATTTTAAGGGGGCGTGCATATTTCAGCAGCTGCTGTGACGGAATGTGAATGAAATGTATAACGATTTGCTATAACTATGCATCCATGATGCAAC